TCAATTGACGATTGCACGACCAAAAGCAAAGCTCAAAATGTTAGAGGACATGATCAGTATTGTTTTATTTGTMAAAGCTTACATCGATGTATCTTACAAGCTTTATATTAAAATTATTGGCTATTYATTAATTGTTTTCTGGAAATAATATCCGAATAATATCTAAACCTAATATTAAATACGAATTATAAACTATTTGATTTTATATACATGCATGCGCTCAAAATTTGCTTTTTGCCACACTCGTGTGAATTCTTGCGCGCTGATTGGCTGATTAAAGTATGTCAGTAAGAGGAGATCACCATCAGGTCTGAACGCGCTTGCTCAGTTAAAAGAAATGAATAATTTTCGCTAATTTTTAGACTAATGATTTGGTAAAAACGTTTTTTCGTTGTATGTCCCCTTATTGAAACACTCTTGACGTCTCGCCATAAAATTTTSAAAAAGTTGCAGTGAATCCACTTGTTGCGGAATTGTATAATTATTCATCATTGACCGATGTTTCAGAGACCAGATCCTCGATGATTTTAAACTCTTTCGCGCCAAAACAACAGAAAAGAAAGAGCCTCTCGTCGAAATAAGGTATCAGTCATTTGACGAATTCGTTTTATGAAAAAAATCACTTCGTTACTGGAAGGGTGCAAATTTAAACTATGGGACGGGTGGGTGTGTAGGTATCTGTTACGTTGGTCTTTGGTGGATAGATTTATGCAATGTTTTCCAGTTAATACCAGAAAAGAAGGGATGTGTTTTGATGTCATCAACGCCATTTACACCATGACCTGTAAAAAACAAGGTCTCTTTAGAGAGCGTTTGAACTAAAAGGAGGTTTAACCGATCAGAAGCTTACGCTTAAACACCCGTCMGAAAACATGGCGGACAAACTTAGAAATTATGACGACTAATTTACAGTCGAACCCCTTTTAACCGGTCAACCCCCTATTAAGCCGTTACTCGTTAGCTTCCCAAAATTTGCTCCTCATATACATTCACTGTAAAATCGACCTCTGATAAACGGCCAGCCTCTGTTAAGCGGGCACTGAGTGCTTCATTTAACTTATGTTATGAAGTTGCAGTGTATTAAAAAAAACTTACCCAGTCTTTCCGAGGGAGTCACAACAAGGAGCTGTTAAAAGTTATAAAAAAACAGTAAAGAATCATTAGTTTTCAAAGGAGATTATCACGTTATGTGATTAAAGAAATATATCTTACCTGTTTAATTAGTGATTCAGCCTCGGCCGATACGCAGCCGGATATCTGTATTTGTGTGTGCAGCCGGATGCCCCATGGGTAATGACTTGCTAACGTCTAAATGACAAACAGCAATTTTAAGTTAAATCAATGTCTTAGTAGCCCGAGTACCAGTCACTCTAGACGGGGATTGGCCTCCCCAATCCCCTTCGAAGAGCCCGATACTTAGGCTCACGTCTTCAAGCTAAACCTGGCGTTGCGTGACGGCATGACGTGTTGGTTACTAAAGGAAGCACATATATGCTAAGTTGATTTTCCAATGTATCCCTGGAGTCGGCCTTACCTCGCCCACAATCATTTCAAAGAACAATGCACCAACACTCCACCAGTCCGCGTCTTTTGTCAATCCTCCAATTCTAAACAGTTCTGTGAAGTAACGAKTCTTATAAGTACTACAATTTTTTAGTAAAGTGGTTAACTCTATTTGGTAATACGTTCCAGCTTATCGCATTAATGATTTAAAAAGTTCCATTTGAGGAACTCCCCCTCACAGCCTCACCCCATTTGTGCTGAGAACTTTGTTGATCATCTCTTTCACCAGTTAGTTCAGCACAAATTAGGGGTAGGGGTAAAGGTGGGGTGGGGTGGGGTGTGGTGCATGGGTGAGGTGGGGTGAGGTGGGCCTTTGGTTGTCAGGCGCCATTTTGAGACACTCTGGACTGGTCCCTCTAGAAAGAAGTGAATCTTCACTTACATTTCAAACCTTTTAGCATAACAGATGATCATTTGAGAAACAAAAAATTTATATATCACGTTTAGAATCTCAAGAGAATGAATAAGACATGAATGAATGAAGAATGAATGAAACCATGAAATGAATTAAAATAAAATGACTCGATATGCTGGAGCACGAGCTCACCTGGTGCACAGTAATYCAACTCCAAGGAAAACAAGTCCACCTCTTCGTTTACATCATTCCAGTTGCTAAAATGAGTCAAAAGCACGTGACCGCTGTCACTCAAAAGCACATTCTTGGGGTTCAAATCTCTGAAAGAAAGAGATAAGCCACATGTAAAACAAAATTACAGGCAATAACGTAACATGGTTACCAGTATACAGCCTTTTGCACAAATTATGAGACATTTTTATATATATAAATATACCTAACCAAATATCAAAAACACCCAAGAAATTATTGGATACTGTCGCTGATATTTTGTCTGTAACAACCTGATGCTAGGCAATCATGACAAAATATAATAGAGATATACCATAATTTCTGGGGTGTTTTTGATATTTGGTTAGGTATATTTATATATATAAAAATGTCTCATAATTTGTGCAAAAGGCTGTATACTAATAAGTATTACAATACTTTAATATCTCATTTAAGAATTTTATTCCTTTGGAAAGAAAATGGGCAAAGTATTGTGCCCTCACAGAAAAAATACAGATATGAACTAATACAATAGTTGAAGTTATTTGAGAAAGTAGACATGTTTTCCATATATGATTAAACAGAGTCACGACCGCAATGTATCGTGGTTCGACTAACCTGCATATGACGCCATGCTTATGAAGGTGTGCCACAGCTAAAACGRTTTCCGCCAYCCAAACCCGAACACAMGATTCCAAACTAGATGGTCTCACTCTGTTATTATCCAGGGTGGACAGGTTCAATTTCTTCTCTTCTTTTATATCATCGCCAAGTTTATCAAGTGTAGWCTGATTGTTTAAAGTGTTTTGTGTTTTATTACGTTCAGATTCTCGTAAATTGTGGACATATGATTGGCTCTTGCTRTTGTCTTGATGGTGGAGGACTGGGAGTAAGTGATCCCGTACCAGGCCTCCTCTAGCATGTTCTAGTAACAGGAAGACTGCTGTATCTGTYTCGCAATGTTGGTGAAGTTCAACTAAGAATGGGCATTTGGACTGAAGGATAAAAGATATAATGTATGTCAATCAGTTAACCATTGGCCAATCAATCAAGCAATCGCCCAATCGGCAATCATTCAATCAATGCACTAATTCACCAATCCATCAATTAATTAATCAAGTGTTCAATCAATCATTCAAGCAATTAATTAATTAAACAATCAACCAATCAATCGGCCAGTTATTTATTCATCCAATCAATCTATTGATAGATCGATGCTTAATCCATCAATTAATCAATCAGTCGACGTATTCAATCAATTATCCAATCGATTAATCATTCAAATAATTAATTAATTAATTAAACAATCGAACAATCAACTAATCAATCGGTCGCCTAGTTATTCATTTAACCAATCTGTCGATAGATCGATGCTTTTATAACATTTAATCAATCAGTGATAGTTATTATTTCTCTGAACTGGTGGATGTTATTGCCACCTCCACCATAATCATCATCATAACATCATAATCACCAACAACACCATCATCATAATCATTATCATCACCATCACCATACTATGTCAATTTGTTCAGCCAAAAACCTCTTGCAWAGGCTGCACAAAACATGACTTACATAAGCTGCTCTTAGGAAGTGCCTTCTTCGTTTTGATCGCTTATGTTTATGTCTAGAATGATGCCCTTCAGTCTTTGGAAAGACCTACAAATATATGATACAATCTTATAACGAATTCTTGTCAGGCTGACTGACTGCTTCAACAAAATAATAATAACATAAGAAATATTATAAAACAAAATTACTACTWAACGGTACCTTGATAACATAGGTTGTTTTGTCTGTTTTTTTCTCCACAAGAATGACCTAAAGAAGATGGACATATATACAGTTTAAATTCCCTCACTAAATGAAGACATGCAAAACGTGAAACAAAGAAGGGAAAACGACTTTAACGAAATGACTTCTTTCTAACGACCAGGAAAATGTTTTAAAACTGGTGTAGCTAGACAACCTTTATGGAATTAGCTGTATTTAGTAATAATGTTGTACATACCTTTCCTATAATACCAATGACCGAAAACTCAGCAAGCTGTAATTGGGTTGAGATAGGTATGTCTTCTTCGCTGTTTCCATCTATCTCACCAGAAATTGGTGAGACTGTTTGGGTACTTTCTGGTACCTAAATAAACAATTTGCACACTAATTAAGTCGTTTCAGCGTTGAGCAATTTTCTTCTTTTTTTCTTTCTTTTCTTTTTGTGTGTGCATGTCATTTAACTGTTTAAAAACGTATTTGACATAGAGTAATGTACACAGGCAAACCGTTTTGCATGCGGACTTGAGGATAGAGTGGTTTTCATTAACCCGTGAAACACACTTTAGCGTATTTACACTTTGGCTCTTTTGTTTTTTATTGTCTCTACGCGACTATTACGATCTATTACACTCTAATTATTACACTTTGTTTCACGGCTTTATGAAAACCACTCTAACAAAGGCAAAATAGCCTAAATAAGTTAACGTATGCGAATCTAAACTTGCGAGGAAAGTTGATGTAATGTGTTATGAAACCTTAAGTAGGTTCGAATTCTTGTAACGAAACGAGCAAAAATTACAAAAGCTACTGCAAATTAAGTTACACTTTGCATTTCTCTAGCACCTTCTTTTGCAATCCTTTTGCGAAGCAAGCAAGCTGAAGTCATTTGTTGAGAAAATCGCACAAAGACATTAGACTAACCTTGTTATCTTCGTGGATATATGCTGTATACAGGGCTTCTGCTTTAAGAAGATATTGCGCTGTTTTGCGACGCACGGCATCACGTCGTTTGCTATCTTTCTCTTCTGCAAGGTACATGGACAAACCTCTTAAAGGCCGATTTACGCGATGCAACGTCGCTTCTGACTTGACATACAAGACACAATCGTACCGTGCAAGACTACGTTTACGCGGGTCCAGTAAGTTTGCTAACACCTCAGGTTTAGCGCAGTTCCTCCCGTTTACATACTTCTTTCTGTCCACAGATAAGGACACTTTCGGAAATCCCATGTGGACATGCGCCCAAAACTGAGTTGGCAGCACAACTATTAATTGAGAGACTYAATTGTTTTAAATAAAAGTACGCGCTCGTTCTTAGCTCTTTTCTTCGCCTTTTTTCGTGCATCAAATACTGTGATATTCGCGAGACGCGCGGAGACAAGTTAGTGATTAGCTTGTCATCGCGCGTCGGGTGAATATGCATGATGTGACCATCTCCTGAGAACCATTATTTTTCTTATTTTACCCACCTTGTACTCCATGTAGTAATAAACTGACACATTTTTTGTATAAATGAAAWGATTCTTTGTATTGGCCATCAAGTTCGCAGCTCAACGCATCCCTGACAATACTCGCWGCWGCAACAAGATAGTCTTCCACAGTACAGTCAAAGCTCGGTTGYTGAGGTAAAAATCTACAAGGTTCATRYTTTTGYGAAGTTGTTTGATCACATGTCGTTGTGATCTGAGAGGACGAAGCGGATTTCACTGCATCCGAAGATTGCGTTGTTGTAATATTACTTTCAGTTGAATTGGAATCATTTAGAGATGTATTATTTTCTTGAGACTCCGTGAAGTCCCTGCTTGTGTCTGACTCACTACAACTTGTTTCATCATTCTCAGCATCTGAGAAAGGTCTTGGAAAGCTAAGATCATTTATGTAATCACTGTTTTCAGCTTCAGAAGCCAATGTTTCAATGTCTTCTCCTTCGCTACATAAGGATATTGCTCGTTGTAGCCAACCAGAGGTTCTTTCTTCATCCTCTTCTTCTTCGTCCTCTTCTTCTTCGTCCTCTTCTCCACTACTTGAGCTATCTTGTTCAGTTTCATTACTTGTAAATACATTGTCCTCGTTGCTCTCTTCAAATGACAAAGATCTTTGTATAAAAGTGGGTGTTTGATCTGGTACTGGATCATCATTGCCTGCTGAGTCCAGTCCATCAACTAAGGACGGTTGCTTGCACAGCCATACGCCACCAAGCTCCAGAAATCCACCTGGTGAAAATTAGATAGACAATAACAAAAAATAAAACAACTAAATTAGCCGCTGTGGTAGCTCTCGGGGAAGGAAAGACAGGGTAGGGCGAACCAGAAGAAATTAGCGCAGGTTTCTTACCAGCCTCATCCCCTCTCCACTCCCCTACAGCCGCCAAACAGCTTCATGTAGCTAAAATATACAACTCAATAAACTAGACAATATACTAGAAAATTAAGCCTTTGGGAAAGGAAATAGATGGGCTAACCATGAAGTAGTTTGTTTACATTTAATATATCAAATTCAAAATATAAGCATCTGAACTAATATTAATATTCAAGATTATATTACTCTCAACAAAAATTAACAATTTTAAGGCACACGCCTTTTGACAGTTCTAGATATCGGCATTTCAAAACTACAAAATCTCTAGAAAATTATATCAAATATTTGTTTTTTGGTTGGTTTAGGTATATCATTGATCTTGTTTCATCAATTGTTTGGGCTTCCTGTGMCGTGACAGACAGACAATATAACTTCCGGATGGCCGAATCAACGTTTGGGCCACACCTCCCTTTGTCACGCATTCTCAATATTTCGACCCCTTGTTGTGGTCGGAGCGGCCATCTTGAGCGGGATCTCCACAACTTTGAGATCATTTATCGAGTTTAGCATTAACAGAAACASAAAATGGAGTCGTGGAAAAAGTATCTTATTATAGGACTTGTCGTTGSCATTGTAGCCGTCGTTATTGGCCTCATAGCATCATCTTTGTCGAGACTTGATTCTGATGAAAGTAAGTGAAGACAAAAACATACTATCGCACTCTCTGTTTTGGAAAATGATTATTTCCCTTTAAGATAACTTGCATTTTCATAAAAGATTTTCATAAAAGCTTACTCAGGCTAAGAATGAATCGGTACACGAACGGACTTGGCCCGTAACACTTCTGAATGGAATTTRTGTAATTTGTACACAAATTTATGTTCTGTAAACCTTCATTTGTGGTATTGAAAATCGCCAAAATGTTCAAGTTAATGTTATAGAGTCTACATCTAAATCTTTTTGACATTAAAACGTTGTCAATATTGCARAAATTGAAACTTTTGAACTCCGCTTTGACCTGTTCGATTTAATATGCATGACTTGTTTTAGTTACGATGTTTGCATAACTTTGCAAATCGATTTACTTCTATTTGCACAAAGTTTTGAAAATACTATCGTAGAAAATCAAGTTGAATATCACAGCACTGCCTCAGTTTTAAAAACTCCTCGACGTTTGTCGCTACACTGTMATAAAAAGTTCTGAATCCGTATTCCTTTTCATAATTTGCATAAATAATTTCAATGAAATCCCTTGAGTATACTAATGTTTTCCTGTCATTTCTAAAATTGCTATATTATAGTTGGCGTTGGTTACGATGTCGTCCAAAGAGATTTAAGCGACGAAGTAAAAAAGTCTGGGCTTCACAATGGTCCACCAGGATTCAAGTTCATCAAATTCCCAAGTGTCTTCAAGTCTAAAAGTTTTAAAAATGTGAAATGCTTGAATAAAGAAGGGTTAGAAATTCAACTTAGCGTTGAATTCCAATATCGAGCCAAGCCYACCAACCTKAGAAAGACAATCCTGCAGTTTAAAGACTTTGATAACTATGGAAAAGTTTTAGGGTAAGAAAAATTACCCAATGTCCAGTGTTATGCCATAAGTTATAAATGAAAAAATGTGGTGTGACCAAACTAAGTGATATATGTTCTCTCTTTCAGAAACCTTGCACTGTCAAGCATGTACGATGCTTGCAGCAGGTTCAACACCAGTCAATTCCAGTCACAAAGAGCAACATTCCAGGAAAGTGTCCTGACGACAATGAACAAACGATTCCAAGACGTCAGTGCCGATTTAACTGACTTGCAAGTCAGCAATATCATACGCCCAGCATCATATGAAAAAGTTGTACGTGACAAGGAATCAGCAAAAGAAAACATCAACATTGCTTTGAACGAACGACCAAGGAAACTTGTCCAAGCAAAATCTGCTAAAGAAGATGCCATCAAGAATGGYCAGATTGCTGTCCAAACTGCAACGTCCAATGCTAAAATCCTCAAAACAAAAACTGATGCTCAAGTTCAAAGTATCTTGACCAGATACGAYGCTGAAGCCCGTGCTTTTGCTACACTCAAGAGCAAGCAGAATATGACTGTAGATGGCCTGCTGTCGTACTTAGCAACAAGAGTCATTGCAGATAAAAACAACACACTCAGTATTGGAATGGATGCTCCTGCCCAGACTAAATACACTTATTGATTGAATGAAAGGATAAATACAAAAATGTTTGACTAAAATATTGCTAATGATGGATGTAAAATAATCATTGTGATCATCAACTGTAAAAAATCTGCATTTTCTATATTTTCACAATCCTCCAGTTCACATTAAGGGAATAAGTTTTTTTTTGTACTTTGTTGTATTTTGAATTGATAATAAAACTCTAAGACACAAAAGTTCTTATTCCCATTTGAATTGAGATCTAGCCACTATCATGTAAACTTATCATGTAAAGTTGTATTATTACACACAAACAAACAAAAGAGATTTTCAACACAAGAAGATAAAATCCTTATCTCCAAGTAATATTCTGTTTACCATATGATTATCCATGAGAGTAAATTATGTTTTAAAACTTTTAAATTGTTATGTATAGAGTTAACACTAACATGTTATTTTCACTAGTGAAATGATATTGGTGGTGTGAATAATTGGTGGGCGCCAATGTTTAAGTTTTAGCTAATAAGCCACAAGAAAATTGAGCCTGTAAATGAAAAGAGCTCATACCGGTTAGCAATTCCTGAAAATTCCAGYGCCGAATTTGCAAGATTTTCTAAAGAAGTGACCTTTGTTGGCATTATTTTGCCAACCACGAACGTGTACTATAGATTTTGTAGTTTTGAAATGCCGATATCTCGAAATGTAAAAAGGCGTTTGCCCTAAAATTCATGTAATATAATCTTGAATTATATGAGTTCAGATTGCTTATTTTTTGAATTTTTTTTTTTGGATGTAAACAAACTACGYCATTGTACGCTCACCTATAAGTTATTGAAAGTGAGAAATAATATTGACATTTCATGGATAATATGTCAAGAGTGTGTTTCTGTGCGATTGGGACACAAACATTCACATGTATGCACCTAATTCTTTTTATCATATATTCACGGGTAAATGATACCCATTCAAATAAAACTTTGTATCAGAAAATATTGTTTGAATTAAGTATAATAAAACGTCACTCTCTATTTAGCTGCCTGTAGTATTTTTTTGAACATACTTCTAATTTTTATTAAGAGAATGTATCAAAAGGTACAGTATTCCTCTATTTTGAATACCCTGTTTATATTAGATAGTGTGTTTGAAAATTTAAAAATACTCCAGGGAAAGAAATTGAATTTAAATTTAAAAATCCTCCAGGGAAAAGAAAGCAAGAGTTTAGTTCTACTACCTCACAGAACCTTATATCATGTAAACAGGGGCTTATTAGTTTTTACAGCTGTAGCTTCTGGTTTTGTCAAATAGCCGATTTGCAAATTTCATCTCACTAGTCAATACATAAAAAAGAATCAAGATGAGGTGCTGTGTGTAAAGCTCAGTCAATTGTGAAAAACTATAATTTGTCTTTTCATGAATGCACAACATCTCGTCTTGATTCCTTTGTGTGTGACTACTGAGGCGAAATTCGCAAGTTGGCTATTTATTTTGGGAAACACAGGAAGCCCATAAAGAGAAGATGTTTCAAAAGGTACTACCCTACTGTAGGTCCTTGCAGAGCTAAAAGAGGCAGGACTATAATCCAAAATGCCAGTAAGATTTCTAATCCTAATCTAATTTTTATCTTTTTATTGCAAAATTTGAGCATACCGTGTGGAATATCCTCGCTTGAGTCTCTTCCTTGTTCTGACTCTTGGACAGATTCTGGAGGACTTACACGTATATTTTTATGAATCTCTGAAGAATCGCCTTCACTGCCTGAAAAGCTTGATGTTCTGGAGGAGCTWGTGCTTGTAGGAGTATACACTCCTCCCTACAGAAATAATAAAAATAAAAGTTTAAAAATTTATAATAAATTATGATAAATGTCAAGGTGATGACAGTAGAGTTAACGTACTAAATCTGTGAAACAAATAGTACTAATTACTACTAAATTGCATTGATTAGACAATCAAAAAAGAAAGGAATTAAAAACAAAGAATTAGCATAGTTTAGTAAAATTTTGCACTATTTAATTCAAGCTTCATGGATAAATTAGTGTTTTCACTCTACTCCTTTAAAATGTTTTTTGAGGTACCACTTGTTCAAATGAATATGATGTGAAACTTACCCCCAAAAACCTGTCCAGGCACTCATGTTCAACTAGCTGTGGTACCTCAGATACAAAGTGTAGAAAACTTAGAATATTTTGTCTTCTTTCCTCGATAACTCTTTCATCAAATCGATCTAGAAAACATGCAATTCAATGTCACATCTTTAAGATTTATTGGACATCAATTATCTCTGTCTCAACTGTTTAAAGAAGGATTAGATGTAGCTCAATCAAGTCAGCCTTACCAAARTAAGTTGCTCTTGGGAGTGAAGGAAGTAGGTTGTTGTGGCCGAGTTTACTGTAAAACTTAGAAAGATCTTTGTGTAGTTTTTTGAATTCACTGAATCTTCTCCACACTATTAACTATAAGTACAAAAATGAGGTTGGACATTAGTTACATTATCTTGACAGCGTATCTACGTAACTGTAGTTCTGATCACACAATTAACCATAAGTACCAAGGGGTCAGGTCGCAGCGCCAAAGAACATTGCTGGTAATTGGTTGGCTCAACACCGCGTGACTCTAAAGAACGACGCATAAACAATGGAGCCTATTGTTCTAGCCAGCCAATCACAATGACTTATATTTAGAGCTGCGAGACCTCTGGTACCAAGCTGGACAAAACCTTCTATGTACAAGACTCTATTATTTGTCTGGGACTTCATTAGAAACTAGCAACTGGCAAAATCCTGCATTTATTTTGACCTTTGGGCTGGCTACTTTTGCCAAAATCATGAAACATTTACCTCATCAACAACTTCAGGTTGATTTCCTTGCTGAGTCACCTGACAAAAACCAAAACTCAATGTTAATAATAATATTCTGGTAGTACTGGCTAGAGTAGGTGCACTTAATCAATAAAATAAATAAGAGTAATATGTAATACTGAGACAAGTTGTCTTGACATCTTAACTTATCTTTTCATCACACACAAGGAGTGCACTATCACAACACAAAACAAACCAAAAATATTGTTCAATCAAACATTGTGTAAACTCCAGCCAACATGTTTCTTGCTCCATTATAACATCCAACAGTTAAATAAGTTGTCTTAATTGTTGGGTAATCTAACAATGTTGTGTGATGTGCAGGTGTTTTTTCATTTGACAGGCACTATCACAGCAGGACTTTAATCAAAGACATTAGTATGGTACATGTAGTAGTCGTAAAAGGATTGGAATCGCTCGAACAAAACTTAGTATAGCTTAGATTCAAACCCTCATAACTCTMGATATAAAGTATTTATCTCATACTATTAAATGGCTCTTCTTATATATTTTGTCTCCCCTTTCGCCAAATAAGCTTAATTCGCCAAAATATCCAAAAATACAGCTTTAGGCAGACTGCTAAATCAAAATGCCTCGAATATCTTTAAAACAAAAGTGTGAAAAATACTTTTTGATAAAAAAACGTTTTACCTTTTGTCCAGGATTTTGTTAATATTTTGTTCAACTTGTATTCTTTACAAAATTGATGAAATTATGAGGAAATAACCAAGCTTTGCATGGATGAATGAGTTTAGTAAACACAAGCTGGCTTACCTTACAAGAAATCCGGTAAACAGTAGGCCCAGCGTAAGACTTTCTTGGGTTTGAAACCTCAAAAGTCCTGAGTAAATGGTGGGCCATTTTAGAGAAAGGCGAGCAAAAATTATTGCCAGAAGTTTATCTACATTTTAACATAGTGTTTTTCTGTCCACTTTTTAGTGCTTCCAGGAAAGACTGGTACGAGCTCGGTATAAAGTATCACAGGACACCCAAAATCATCATTTTTTGAGAGTTTTGTTCGAGACAGCCTTGTTTGATTATTAAGATTTTGTGAAAAAATCATTTTCTTGAAAATTTGTGTCACATAAATCAATGTGATTTTATTTTGCACATACAAATACTTTTGGCTGGGAYTCCTGTGTTTATATATTTGATTGCGGGCTCATTTTCGTAGACTGGAATGACGTCACGTTAATGGCTGCTTCCTGCTTGAGTGGAAATTTCTGTGTTTTG